TTTCACCACTGAGGCACCCAAAGGGGGAAAAATGGAGGAGGAGGAGAGATTTTCTTAAGGTGAAGTCAGGCTTATTTACATTCTAGTTTCCCCAGCAACGTACACCTAGAGGCTAACTGGAATTGTGAGACCAAAAGGATTACTCATCGGACAGAAATGATTTAACATAAAGACAAAAAGACCAAGGACATTAGTGCCCTGGTGCAGATTGGTGCAGACCTCTCTATGTGGCAGCCTGTTCTCAGAGGGAGGGCACAGCCAGCCATGTCCCTGGGCTATGCCGACAGCATCTGAGCGGCAGACCTGGCCCTGCCTGGGAATCTGTGGGAACATGGATAGGTTCTCCATGTTTCCAAGCCTCAGTTTCCTCAACTGTGAAACCTCAGGGTCCATGTGGACCTTGGATGAGACCATGTGACTAGCATGTGGCAGACGTCAGGGCCTGTCCTTCTCCACTTGCCCTGCCTCACTTGGTGGCCCTGTGGTGGGCACGCAGCTCTGTGTGGCTGACACCTTTTAAATAAGGCCTCGGGGAAAGTTATCTGGTGACAGTGCTTTGAGAAGAGAGGGGCATATCAGCCCTCAGGGCGATGGCACCTGGAAATGCTCCCTGTGGGCATTAGCACCCCAGGGCTGTCTGCATCACTGAGCATCTCGTAAACACCCCAGCTTCCTACTGCTAAGAAGCTGGTCGTCCTGTGCAAAGAGGCTTAATTCAGCACAACATCCCAGCCTATCTTTATGCAAACGCAAAGGATGCATCTCTCAGCAGATTCGGAAGTAAGGGAAGGGTGCATACAGCTGGCGTCCCCGCTCCGTGGAGGTGTGCCCAACATATTTGGTACATGGTGGACAAATCTGGTGGTGGGTGGATGCCGAGTCAAGTTCATCTTTATTTTCCATTTCCCTTCCTTTACTGTTTCATTAAGAACCATGTCTGGTGTTCATTTAAAATAAAAATGGAAGTTTGAAGAAGGTTCCCTTTTGAACTGGAACCTTTATAGACAGGACCAGGGTCAGCAGGTGGCTGCCCACGCTTGAAACCTTCTCCAGTTTAAAGGTATGAAGGTGACTTGTAGCTTCCGACATAAAGAATTTTCATTTTTATTTTGATGGGGAAGAGTGGAAACTCCCCTTCTATTGCTGAAATGTAATCACAAAGTCCTTGTCCCATTAATGACATAGGGATCCTAAAATACTGAGGAAAAGATCATCATTTCGTTCCCAAATGGTAATTAACCTTCAGTTATTTGATGGCTGTTCCTCCAGGATCACAAACGTGACTGTCAAACAGTTCAAATGGTTTGTGGAGTATTTATCACAGCTGCCAACACTTGCTGTTTGAAATCTGGAGTGTGAACTCCCAGCTGAGGAAGTTGGATGCTAATGGATACAGCTCACTGAGCCCAGGTGTAGGCAGGTGCCTTCCCAGCCTCTCGGGCTGCTAGGCCCTGCCCTCTTTCTGGGCAGTTCCGTACTTGGCAGATGACTGGAGGGGGCTCCCTCCTGCTGTAGGAAACAACAAAAAGATTGAGAGCAAGTCTCCTTGTTTATAGCTCTGCACTCACACATATATGCACATATCCATCACCAATACCACACACACACACACACACACACACACACACATACATGCACACACGCATACACACAGCACTCTTGCACTTAGTTGCAAAGCCTAGGCCCCTGATTTATTTTTCTCTCAACAAATATTTATTGAGAATCTACCTTGTGCCTGAGAGTGAAGAGAGAGCATTGAACCATCAGATAGAAATCCCACTCTCATAGAGCATACACTAAGGCGGCAAGAGAGGAGACCTGCAGGAGACCTGCAAAGGTCCTGAGGCAGGAGCCTGTTCCATGTTTTCAGGAAACACTTTGGAGTAATGCTTGCCCAAGCAGGATTTGCTGGTTCTCTTCCTCTAGGCCCTTTTGAGCTGGGACCTTTGTAGATAGGACCAAGGTCACCAAGTGGCTGCCCATGCTGGGATCCTGCTAGGAAGAGGTCTCTGTCCCAAGAGAACACAGCTGCTCAGAATCCCTCAGACCCCTACAGGTGTGCTGCATTGGAAGATGAGAGAGGAAGAAATAATTTATTTTACTTATTTATTTTTGGTGCCAGGGACTGAACCCAAGGCTGCTTAACCACTGAGCCACATCCCCAGCCAGCCCTTTCTATTTTGAGACAAACAGGGTCTTGCTAAGTTGCTTAGGGCCTCGCTAAGTTGTTGAGCCTGGCTTTGAACTTGCATTCCTCCTACTCAGCCTTCTGAGTCTCTGGGATCACAGGAACACGCCACTGTGCCTGGCTATGAGGAAGGGAGAAACCCCTCATACTCTGGTTCAAGAGGTTGCCCTGCCTTGGAGCCTCTGCATGCGGAAAGGGCCATTTGGAAGAGCGTTCTTCATAAAGCAGAGCTCCAGTGAAACAAACTGAAGGTCCTGGCAGGAGCTGCTGCCCTGTGGGTGTATTCTGTGAGCTGGGATGCTCCCTGAGACACTTGTTCCCTTACATGTTCAGTGATCCAAGGCCACACGTGCAGGATGCTGCACAGTGACATAGGTATGTAGCCAGATGGGACACCTGCAGAGTACTGCTCCAGGACAGGGGGTGTGGCCCTGGTGGCCCATGTTTCCCGTAGATGTGTCCAACAGCCAGCGGCAGCTCAGAGAGAAAGGGACTTGGCTGCAGCCTGGAGCTCACGGATCCTAGTCTCTGGCAGGTGACAGGCCCCAGGCCCCCCGCTCAGCTCTGTGTCCACTGGGTCCTGCACAGCACTAGGAGGGAGAAGAAGAGAAGTGGGTCCCAAGCCTTGGGTAACAGGTTGTGGAGGGTGTTCTGGGTCCTGATCCCCGCAGGCAGCCGATGGAACCCCCAGGCCGCTTTCTGAGCAAAGTCAGCTTGGGGTCCCTCCCCCCATGACCACAGACAGACACATAGTTCCTTGGTGAGGTCTGAGTCACACTCTGACCCATACATGCCTCAGAAGCCATCACCTGGCTTGGCGGCCTGCTCATAGTCACAGTCACATTGTTCTGACATCACAGAAGGACGAAGGAGACGAACCTAAGCAGGATTTATGCTTCAATTCTATTTCCTTGAGAACAGGCCCACAACATCATGTATCATTTTTATCGGTTCCCCTGATCCCGGCCATCTCAGCTCCCTTCCTCCTCCCTCGACCTCAGCCCCAGCTCTGTGGATTCACCCACGCCCTGGCCCCCATCTGAGGCTCCCCGCTACAGTGTGCCTGCTGCGCACGGGTTTGGCTGTGTCAATTCAGACCTCACGTGACTTTTCTGTCTGTAGTATTTCCTCCGAGGCCACGAGAGAGTATGATGACGGCCTAGATTCTCTATCTGTCACCTGGGCATAGCACTGACAATGGGAATCTATAGACCCACCAGCAGGAGGGAGGGGTCCTCTCCCTATGGCTCTGTTTATCCTCAGGAAGCCCAGAGCGTTCCTAATTGTCAGTGTTCATCTTTTTTGAACCAGGAAAGAACAACATGCAAACCGTGTCTCATCCCAAGGAGTGTCCCTAAGGGAAGGGACTATAAACAAAGGAAGTAAGCGACCTCACTGAGTGGAAGCAGAGGTCTTTGTGTGTAGGATTCAGATGTTGGAAAGGGGTGGCAGACTTTTTTAAGACAAAGAAGTCTTTAGTCTTGATGGAACTCTTCTATCCCTCAGGGCCTCCTTCTTGAACCCTAGTAAGCTGTGCCTCATTTCTGTTTTCACCTCCTATGACTGCACCGCCCAGAGCCAGGAGAGTGCTGCAGGGTGTCTGTGAGCCCCTCAGTTTCAGAGCCCTTCTCCTGCACAAGCCACCAGGAACCCACAGTCACTGGATGGGACAGTCACATGCCCACCAAGCAGACCGTCTTGGAGCAAGATCCAGAAAGGACCCTTATTTTAAAAATATATATATTTCTTGATGGTGCCGGGGATTGAACCCATGGCCTTGTGCATGCAAGGCAAGCACTCTACCAACTGAGCTATATCCCCAGCCCTGAAATTTATTTTTCATCTCCTATTGAACTGAGGCCCCCCTCCCACTTTCCTAGGTGAATCTTATAAGATAATTATGAGGCAAATAATTATCTGATACAGTTTGCTCCATCAGTCCAAAACCAGCTATTCCCCCAAACCTGAAGAAGTGGAGTACTTTTGCAAGTTTATGTATTCCTTCCAAGCACCTGTGAGGTTGTATCAAATTATCTTCGGGATGTCACAAAACCGGTTTTCCCTAAGGCCATGGCTAACTTGTAGGCACAGCTTCCAAACTTCAGGTCAAAATTTTAACCACTAAGTCTGTTCAGCCTCATCTGCAAATCAGATTTAAAAGAAAATCGTAAGCCAAAAAAAAAAAAAAATCAGTCATGGTACAAATATTGCAAGGAAATATGTGACCAAGAACTCCCTAACTAGACCCCCCTTGTTTTTAAAAGGGACTGAGCTCTCTTCCAGCTCAGGTTGATTGGATAAGCCAGGCAGGTAAGCCAGGCCTGAAGCTAACTTAGCTCATACTTGGTTTCCCTAAGGTTTTCTTGCTCGGAGCATCAGACTCTAAGCTAAACATAAAGAATAGAAGAAGATTGTGGAGTCCAGAGAGAGGGCCTCAGAATCCAGTTCTGAGGTGTCCTTCATCGCCTTGGAGTCACTTTGCCTCAGTGGGCACGATGAAGGGATCCCCCCTTTCCCCTTCCCACACACAGCTCCTGGGCCTACTTCTTTAGCCAGCCTGGGCAGCCCTGTGGCTCTCTGGGACTCAAGGCACGAGGAGCACACCTGGCCTCCTCCTGCCTGCCTCTCAGGTTCGTGGGGAGGAGTGACTCGGTGAGTGGTGTGAGCCCGTTGTCAACTGTAGAGTCCCACAGGCATCAGCTCCTCTCAGGCTGGATCCATCTGAAGATGAGCTTCATGTGCCTGTGACCAGCTGCCATCCACCACACCCTGGAAAGGCATCCACTGACCCTTGTCCTTGTCTTCTGTCCAGGTATCTGGCGCTCTATGCCTATAAGCCCCAGAAGAATGACGAGTTGGAGCTGCGCAAGGGGGAGATGTACCGGGTGCTTGAGAAGTGCCAGGACGGCTGGTTCAAGGGGGCGTCACTGAGGACTGGGGTCTCTGGGGTGTTTCCTGGAAACTATGTGACACCAGTCTCCAGGTGAGGGTCCAGCAGCCTGGGCAAGAAGGGTGCAAGGTTCACATTCTCCTAATGCTGTGGCAACTGCTGGGGACCACACTGTGGCCTGGGTCCCCCTGAAGACAGTCTAGAGGCAGTGAGGGCACTCAGCTATTCTTGCAGCTCCAGCATCTGAGCTGGGTTTGCTTGGCTTTCCAGTGGACCCTGGCCACCAGGGGGACCTAAAAGGGAGAAGGAGGAGCTGGAGTCAAGGGCACAAAAGCAACTAAGCAGGGAGAGGAAACTCTCCAAGGGCAAGGTCGTGTGTGTGTGTGTGTGTGTGAGGACCCTGTGTGCAGGCATTGTATATACAGTGAGTACAGCTTGTGTACATTAGTGTGTCACGTGTATGCGCTGTGTGTGTAATGATGTGTATAGTATGAGTAGTGTGTGTTCCAGTGTACACGTTTATGTGCACTGTGTGTACCACATTAGTGTGCATCCATATGTGTGCAATGTGTGTAGTGCATGTGTTTAGCAAATGCATGTGTGTATGCAGTGGGTGTTCATGTTACCTGTGTATGCCTGTGCCTGTGCATGTGCTGTAAGTACAGTGTGCACACGCATGTGTACAGGGTCTGCATGAATGGTCAGTGTGATGCGTATATGTGTATGTGTGCATTTGTATAGCATCGAGTACCATGTGTGCACATATATGCAGTGCATGTGTGGGGCGAGTCATCACTCATGGGATCTATCATACAGAATACGCATACACATTTATGAAAAGGCAGAGTGATGTGTTCCCCAAAGTTACAAATGTTATTGAGTGGAAGCATTGTGGGTGATTTAAAATTTTTTCTTCCTTGTGCCTTCCAGTGTTTTACAAATTCTGTGTTATTCAACTTTTATAAAATAGAAAAAGTCATTTTAAAAATTCACTATAGAGGTAATCCCGAGTTGTCTGAGAATTTTCCACTGAGCTGAGGTTTGCGGCTCAGTTCTATTCCAGTTGGTTCTGTGCCCCGCGGCGACATAGCCCTATGTGGACGCTGCAGGACGGGCAAAGAAATTGAAGACACAGCCCTTGGGTTTTGACAGTCTATAGGAGAGGACTACAGGGGAAAAAAAAATGATTGTACCTATCCCTGGCATTGATTGCCAGACTGAGTCACCCCTGTCAGAGCGGCTTCAGAAGGCCAAGGGGACACACATGCAGAGTTGCCTCTAGTGGCTTAGGTTAGTAGGGATCCTGGTGCCCAGTGGAGACCTGTGGAAGACAGTGCATCCCAAGGCCCCGAAGGTTTGCAGGGAAAGGAAGGTGAGCAGCAAGAAGTGCTCCACTCAGGTGACCCTCGCAGGGAAAAGAATGAGCAGCACACTGAAGAGGGACTTCAGAAAAGCCCTCTGCCCTAAGTCCATCCTTCTAAGAGGAGGGATGGCTGCTTAGGGTGTAAGCTCCCCATGGACCCCTTGGGGCTTCCTTATGGGTGTGGGGCAGCTTGCTCTGTGCTTGCAGCCAGGGCTTCTCTTCAACAGGGAAATCTAGTCTGCAGTTTCCATTTACAGCCTTCCCATGCATGCTCATCCTGCAACTGCACTTAGGGTTGAAGTCTCGAGTGCTTTGAGGGACCACCAGTGGGTCTGATGCAACTCATCAGTACCTTGGCCCTCATTGTCTACCCCTCCCCATCAGTGTTGAGGTTCCCCCAAGCATCTTGGCCTTAATTGCTCATCCATACATGGCCCTTACACAATGCAGACATAGTCCTCTGTCTGAATTCCTCAGGTGGGGAGGGAGTGGGCGCTGGCAGCCAGGGTTGCCTCCATACACCGCCTCAAATCTGGAATGCCTTCCCAACTCTTCCCACTACCCAAATAAACCTGATCTGTCCTTCAGGAGCACAGTCCTAAGTCCAGTTGCTAAGGAAAACCTCCTCTTTCCCAAGTCACATGGTCAGAATGGATGGCTCTACCTACCACATCGTCCTAATGGACCTGTCTGTGAGTACTGCTCATTGTGGGTCATCAAAGTTGTGCAGAGCCTTCAGTCCCTAGGCATAGCAACCATCTCTATCTGTGCATTATAAGCTCCTTGTATACTCTTTGCATATACTAGGTGCTCAATAAATGTACATTAAGTAAATAAGTGAAAACTGGTAGCTCTGATAAAAAACTTATTCCAAGGACTGTCTTCCCACAGTGCCAGGCACTTTGTTATGGGGACATCCTCTGGTTAATGAAACTGGAACCATTTGGGTGACCTGAGCCACCTTGCTCAACTCTAGCTTGGGCAATATCATCAGTTACTCACTTCCCTTGAACTTTCTTGATCTTTATCCAGGTACAAAGCAGCCCAGAGCCATGGACATCATTAAACAGAAGTCCCTCCAGCTCTAAACCTGGTAACTGTGATAATAAGAGGTCACTCCCTGGAGTCTTCTCCTGTCTCTCAGAGAAGGAATCATCAGGAGCCCCTCAGTCATTATATCATAGGCTCAGACTTCCCCTGTGGGATCCATACCTCACCACAGAGCAGAAAAGCTTGCCTCTTGATTCTGTGACTCTGCTCCCAGGAATTATACCTTCTCTGATCCTCACTGTTCTTTAGAAAAATTGTCAAAACCACTCAGCAAGAGCTGGGGTTGTGGCTCAGTGGGAGAGTGCATGCATGAGGCACTGGGTTTGATCCTCAGCACCAGATAAATGTAAAATAAATATATTGTGTCCACCTACAACTAAAATACATAAACAAACAAACAAATGAATAAATACTCAGCAGAAACTTGATACCTTATCAGGACAGAGGTCAGAGAGACAGGTGAAGGCCCAGCCCTCTATGCACGCAGACCAGGATCTACTCTTCAGCATCTGCCCCAGCCATCCTAAAGTGCTCTGGACTTGAGACTCTGACATTTACAAGTGATTTGCAGCTTTGCAACTGTGGAGGAGAGTCAGAGTTCATTCAGAAAGGTGGGGACCCCAGGGTGCATGAGACTCTGCACTAAGGAGCTAAGAGCTGGAGGATGCCTTGCCATCCCGCTGCCAGAGCAGAGGGAGGGGTTTACCTTGCCACTCAAGATGTGTTTGCATTAGCCACCTTCACCCCTGTGACATGACCTTGCCAGTATGAAAGCCCAGGCTATTTTGCTTTTAAAGACTAAATGTGAAATAAGTGATTTATAAACTCATGGGTTGCACTGGCTGTCAGGGCTGCAAGGCAGAGGTGAGTTTCAAAGTAGCTCTGAGGCTGAGGAAGGATCACACTGCCCTGTGGCTCCTTTTCAGGTGACACCTTTTCTGGGAGGCTCTTCTCCTACAGCTGCTCTGCAGAAGCACTTCCTGAGTGCTGTGGAAGTCCTCCAGTGAAGGTCCCAGCCTGGTGATACCCTGCCATGGGGAGATGAGCCAGGACCCAGGAGAAGTAGAGGGCTTGGCAGGACCTGTCTTCTTCCACTGTGGCTTCTGCTGCCTCAGAAGTGAGACAGAGACCCTGAAGGAACAGGAACACAAGTTTACCCAGCTTCTGGGCAAACTGAAGACTTCCTGGGTCCCGTGAAACAAAATCCAGAGAACGTTTTAAGCCCCCAAATTCTGCAGTATCCCACACTCCCAGAGCCAGGGCACGGACAGAAAGTGAATACATGCAGAGAAAAAGGGTTAAAAGCCTTGTTTCCAAAGTTACCCTGCTCCTCTTATGTGAAGTGGTTTCAACTGGAAGCTGCCGGGTGAAAGGACATCTATTTTTGGTATGCAGCTGCAAGCTCCCTGACATCCTCAGAAGAAACCATGTTGCCTGTGCCCTTTCCCATCAGCCAGTAGAAACATGATGGTGCCATGCCCAGAGAAGCTGGCATCATGTCCTCACCACGTGCCACATGTGTCAGAGCTTTGTGAGATGCGACTGAGCCATCCACTTTTTCTGGTTGTGTTTGGAGACACACAGCTGTTTGTGAGAAGGAACCAAGGCAGTCGCTCTGGTGCTAAATATGTGATTTGGATCATTCCTCTGTTCCTTAGGGTTCTTTTGCTATTTATTGAGTATTCACCTTGGGAGTTGGCTCCATGGAGGTGTTATAAAGGGTGCTCTTGTTAAATCTGACCTCTGGGCATCCTTCAACTAAAGCAATGTCTTGCCATTGAATTAGGACTTTCCTGGAGCACTTCCCCTTCTTTTAGAACCTGTAAGTAAGGGCCACTGGCAAAGGCTTGATTTCATCTGAGCCTTCTCACTGACTTGATTCTGCTTGTTTCTTTAGGGTTCCTGGAGGAGGGGCTGGGCCACCCCGAAATAATGTGCTTGGAGGATCTCCATTGGCCAAAGGGATGACCACCACCATGCATCCTGGTGGTGGAAGTCTGAGCAGCCCAGCCACTGCCACCAGGCCGGCCCTGCCCCTCACCACACCGCAGCACCTGGCAGGCTCCCCACCGACAGGCAGCTGTCTGCGGCATGCAGCTCAGCCGGCTGCCAGCCAGGCCCGGGCCACCATCCCAACAGGTAGGGACACAGACTCCCAGGCTCTCACCTTGCTGGGAAATTGACAGCAGAGCTTTCTGGAACACAAAGCATGAGACCACATTTTGGCCCAGGTCTCGGGTAAAGAACAGTGTGTGTGTGGAGGGGGCGGGGGGTTATTATTTCTCGTCACAATCTTGAAGTCTGCTGATCTCCAAGAAGTACACTTATCGTGTTGCCCCATCCTGGCAGCTGAAATGGATTAAAGAATTTACAAATATTTACACATTTTTGCTATGGCAAGAGGACTGTAGGGACTAATAAGATCAACATGGGCGACACCTCCCCAGCGAGGCAGTTATGGGTTGGTCACGGAGGGCCCCAGTTGCTAGACCCTTCAGGGTTCCTCAGCTGGGCAGCGGCTCACAGGACAGGGCTGGTGATAGGCACAGGTCATGGGGTCCCTTCTGAAATTTTTTGAGGCTGGAAGGAATGGTGGTCCTTGGCTCATCACCTTTACGGCAGCATTGACAGTCAGTAGGCTGACAGAACTTTAGGAAAAACCAGTTTGGCCCCAGGACAGTATACAATGAAAAGAAATCATGGAGCGGCCCTTGAAGGCATCAAGAAGGCGAGCACATATTTCTCAGAAGCTTAGCATCGGGCTAGTAAGAACGATCAAAGCTTGACTTAAAGAACGCCTCCCGGGAGCCCACACCCCGTGACCTTCCAAAACCAGTGACACTGTCCTAAAGGTGAAAGTAACCCAGGACAGGGTGTGTAACCCAGAATTTCTCTTCTCACCCCATCTCTACCCTCTCAGAAGTGGAACTCAGAGGGCAAAAAAATGAAAGTTCTTTCTAGCAGTAAATTGCAGTACTTTGGAGACTAGTCAGCCAGGACCGAACCTATTCAGAGCACTCCAGAAGGCAGTGTCCTGAGTGAGAAGTCAAGGCAGGGCCTCACATAGCAGAGGTGACATTTTCTCCTGAGTCACAGCTGATGGGACAAGGGGGTGGGAGTATTCAAAGCTCATTGTCCTCTTGCCCGTTCCATTGGTCCTTCTGAAACTGAAGAAGGTAGCCTGCCTGCACACCCGCACGCTGATGCGATTCAGGCTTACGTGGGAAAAGCAGCATTCTAGTGAGCGCTTGCAGGATCCTGAATTTAACGTGGACTGCTTTGAGAGCTTTGCAGTTCAGTCCACTACAGTCAGTGTTCCTGCCAACTGACAGGATGACCTCCCTGCTCTCAGTCTTTTGTATCAGGGAAGCAGGGAGCACCGGGGAGGGAGGGAGGGGATGTGTGGGGCCTTAGGGGAAGGAAATGGTAGAGAAGGCTCCTCAGAAGAAGACTTTCCTTACCCACAGTGTGGCTCCCAGTGGTTTCAGGTACCCACCGTCAACAGAAAAGGGCAAAGGCATTTCAATCAGGATTTTTTGACAAAGGGTGAGAGACCACATTCACAAAACTATTTTATAATAGTATATTATTATGACTGTTCTATTATCATTTACTGTTGTTTGAAACTATGCCAGATTTGTAAATTAAACTTTATCATAAATAGGTATGAACAGGAAGAAAAGGTTTCTAGATGGTTTGGTACTATCTGTGGTTCGAGGCATCCAGTGGAGATCTTGGGACAGACCCTCACTGAAACAGAGGCCTAGCTGAAGGCCTCAGCTTGGCCAGCAGACAGGGAGACCTATGCTCAAGTGCCAGGGTTGCTGTTATTGCTGCGATCTCAGTTTCCCCCTTCTGTGAAATAGGTGTATAAGCAGCCTTCACCTCCCAGGAGGTTTGTGTGAGGGCTACCTAGCATGGCACCTAGTATGTACTCAGCCCATGGTGGCTATTTTTATTCCGTTAGAGAATAATAATATTCAATGTATGAGAAGTTTAAAAAGTAAATAGGAATTGTTATCAAAGATTCTCAAGAGTTGCAATTTCCCTTAAAGGCGGTGAGGACCCTCTGAGGGATTTTAAGCCAGGGGGATAAGACTATCACAGACCACCAGGGCACAGGGGAGAGAAGAGCATGGGGCAGTCTGGCCTGAGTCAGGAGCCAGCTGGAGAGAGCGAGAGGTGGCAAGGAGCCTGACCAGGCAAGGGGCACAGGGTGATGAATCATCCCAGAGACAGAGTGACTACGACTCTGTGTGGAGGTGCTCAAGGTGATCTGAGGACCCAAGCGCAGTCCATGTAGTAATAGCATATTCTGGCCTGGAAGATACCAGAAGGGAATTGGTTTATGGTGAAAGATGATGCACCAGGTTTAGCCATGTGGTTTCAAGAAGTGTAGTGGGTTGCCTTGGGCTCCTGGCTGATTTGAGACCACCTCCCTCCCTATGGGCTCAGCCACCATAGAAGGCACCCTGCACCTGCAGCTTACCCTGAAGAGACACATCACTCTCCTCTGGGAGTTGATGCTTCTGCAGGTGTTCGGAAGAATAGACATGGGGTGCCATGTGGATCCCTTCTGGGGGTAAAGAAAAACCACCTAATTTTTCAGGAGCAGCCAGGGTGGACTTTCGGTGCCTGGTGTCCAGCATCTTCAGTGAGTGATAGAGTCTAGGTGCCTGGTGCTCAGCATCATCTACGGATGCAGGGTGGAATTCTGATAGATTTTTGGTGGCTGGTGTCCAACCTCATACTGGGTGGTGTCCAGCAGAGGTGGAGTTGGCACCAAGGAAGTCTCACAGGTGGTCTGAGTACCGCACTGGCTGTAGAGCCTCTGTGACCAACTCTATCAAGCCAGAGATCCTACAGTGCCCACTAGTCTTTTCTATATATCTTTTTTTAAAAACTTTATCAACTCAAAATATGACCTGTATTTTTGCAACCCTAGACTGTGGAGCCCTGGGAAAGAAGTACTTGTCTCTGTACCTCAAGTTCTCTGTAGCAGATAATATTGTCTGGTCCCAGACCCCTCACCTCCAGCCCCTGACCCCTTATCTGGTTAGTCACATGTATGCCATGGTTTAAATTGATCTGCTAGTGTTCCTTGGTACCCTCCTCCAGTTTGGGGTACAGCTATTGTGATAGTCAGCAATTAAATCACCTTCAGCAAAGCTTCCAGACTGCTCAGAGCATGCCAAAATGCTGGCCTCTATGGCTCCTGGAGCACTGGGCAAGACCAGGGGCAGCGAATGGCCCAGGCCAGGTTCCTTCTGATTATAAACATCACGTCCAGTCATCCCCCAGCATGCCATACCAATGTGTCTCTGGGCACCATGACATGGAAAGGCTAAGCAGAGCTGTTCCTCCTGGTGAGTGAGCACCCTGGCACAGCAGCCTTGGATTATCTGCCCCCAAAATAGCCAGCATAATGGCCTTTCTATGCCAAGCCTTGCTTAGAAACTTTCCCAATTCAAAAAGATAATGGAGCCCTGCCAGTCATTTCTCCCTCTATGCAATAACAAGCAGTATCAAAAGAAATTGGCACGGCTCAGGGCAGCACAACACTGTGTCGTGTCTCCGTCGTCCATCACCATAGTAACCACGATGGTGTGACAAGCATTCTCTTGCATCGGTTTAATTTTACATACAGACAGAGTGAGGCACAAGATGGCTAAACTGCTCCCCTTGTGCATCCCAGCCTCACGCCTGTCCCCGTGCCGTCGCTGTCACGGCCAGGTAAGAGAGTGGCTCCTGCTGAGGCATATCAGTAAATTAAATGCCGCTGAATTCCCACAGCATTTTCCACTTCATTCTGCATTTAGAGAGCGAGAAAACACGGTTGACAGTACAAGTAATGGATTGTTCGCTGCAGTAATTGCCCATTTCAGCAGACCCCAGCCTTGGCAGTCGGGAGGCGTTTCAACAATGTTCTCATCTCCAGCCAAAGGCAGGCGGTTTGACAAAGGCTTAATTGCATCGGCCATAGCATCCAATATGATTTGTTCTACTTGATTAATGTCACTCCCCTTCTCAAGGGCAGCACACCCCCTGCAAAGTGCCCCCGTTGCTTAGATGCTCACGTCAGTAGGGGCAAGTGCTCCTGCAGCCACTTAGTTAGCCCCCAAAACAGCACCCCAAAGAAGAGCTAGATTCACAGTGCTCTGAGAGAGTCTGGGGTTACAGAGAAAACCAGACAGACCCAATTAGGAAAAAAAAAAAAAGACAAGGAAACAAATTCCTAAAATAGAATTTGATAAGTGCTGTGGTGGAGGCACAGGCAGGGTATGAAGAAAGCATGGAGGAGAAAGAGTTCACTGAGATGGGGGAGGAAAGTGGCCAAGAGGATGGGAAGAGGTGTACAAAAGGTTTTCAAGAGGAGATGATAACGCCTGGAATCTCAAAGGGTGACTGGGCAAAGTAGGGAGGGTATCGGAGGCAGAGGAGCCAGCAAAGGCAAAGACATGGCAGTGAGAAAGACTATAGTTCCTACCGTTGATTTAGTTTGATGTGGAAGAAGTAGTCCAGTATGCTGGTGACCATTTTTCTGCAGAGATAGGCTTTACTTTTAATCTAGAAGATGGATAGTACACAGCATGCAGCAGTGGGTGGGGTGGGGTGAGAGAAGCATCCAGGCGGAGTGAAGGTATGTGTGCAGCCCAGAGGCCAGCAGAGGCCAGGTGCATTCAGAAACAGAAGTAAGGTCTGCTTGGCAGAACAGAGAAAGGCTCGTAATGAGGCTTTTGAAAAGGTATGTAGGGCCAGATTATGATGGTTCTTTTAGACCATGTCAAGGAATCTAGATTCTATCCTCGAGGCAGTGGGACACATTAAAGGGCTTTAAATAGTAGATATAGTCAGGTTTTTGTCTTTGAAAGATCAAGCTAGACTCCTGCTCATGGCCAAGCAGAAATAATGAGGGCGAAATTTACCCTCCCACCTGAAACAGCTAAGAAGCAGACAGATATATAAAAGTTTTGAAGACAGTCCCCAAGGAAGTTACAGGCTGTGGCACAGGTAGAGCCCAGCCCAGAAGGCCATAACAAAGATGGTGGAGTTGGCAGGACAGAGGATCAGAGAGGAGAGAGCTGAGAGAGAGAGAGAGAGAGTGTTCTGTATTCAGTTGAGAACTAATCAGCATATGC